ATAGAATCACTTGGAAAGCTTTTAAAAGGATTGATTCCTGGGCCCCATCCGAAAGTCTACTAAATCATTTTTGGAGGTGAGGTCTGGGCATATGTATTTTTTTCAGAGCTCTTCAGAAGTAGACAAACATTTAAGAACTACAGGTGTAGAGTATTATAGAGATGTTTTTCTATACTAAGTACCTTCCCCTCATTGTTGAGCACACTCCAGGTTCTTTAGTGACTTTGTAAGCTCCCTGCAAATCACAGGAGAAATATTAGATGCAGTTAGTCTGTTGTCATAAGGCATCAGAGTGCAGAATAGAGTTTTGTATTCAAAATTTTCTGCTTTTTAAAAGAGATCAAAGGTTGACTTGAACAGAAAGGAAATAGAGCGAGAGATCACTAAAAGTTATTTTATCCTAGTGGGAGTCCTAGTCAAATTCATTCCATCCTATGCAGACTACTGCATTGCTTTAGTACTTTGGGGGCCCAGAAGAGAGTTGAGTTCTCTTATAAATTTGGTGGTTTGGTATTAACCTTTTAAAAATCTGGGCTGTGACCAGATAATATTTGATTGATTGATTCTACCATCTGTCACCTTTATAGCACTTCATAAATTATAAGCATACATCCTCCTGGCTGGTATGGTTCAGTGAACTGAATGCCAGCCTGGGAACCGAATGGTCACTGGTTTGATTCCTAGTCAGGGTACATGCTTGCGTTGTGGTCCGGGTCCCCATTGGGGGGCATGCAAGAGGCATCTGATTGATGTATCTGTCACACATTGATGTTTCTCTTCCTCCCTCCCTTCCCCTCTCTCTAAAAATGAATAAAAATCTTTTAAAAATTATAAACATACAGTATGTTTAAATATAATAAATGCCTCAGGGTAGGCAGGAAAAGTGCTGTGATACCATTTTACAGATGAAAAAACTGTTCCTTAGAAATTAACTGACTTTTCCATGAAAAAAGACAAGGGCAGAACAAGGACTAGGACCCAGGGTTTTTGAGCCCATTGCTTTTTTCTTTTGGTGTAAATTTGGCCTCAGATTTTGGCCAGAATCGGCCCTGGCCAGGTAGTTCAGGTGGTAGGAGTGTTGTCTCATATACCAAAGCGTTGCAGGTTTGATCCCTGTTGGGGGCACGTATAGGAGGCAACTGATCGATGCTTCTCTCTCCCCTCCTTCCTCTCTCTCTCAAATCAATAAACATATCCTTGGGTGAGAATTAAAAGGAAAAAAAATTGAGGGGGGGCCAGAATCAAATCCTACGATGTAAAGTTTGTTAATTCTCAGGAATTTTCTTCAACACACCCTTGCAGGCATTGTGTCGGGCAGAGGATGAAGAGGACATCCGAGCAGCCACCCAGGCCAAGGCTGAACAGGTGGCTGAGCTTGCAGAATTCAATGAGAATGATGGGTTTCCTGCTGGTGAGGGAGAGGAGGCTGGTCGGCCTGGGGCTGAGGATGAGGAGATGTCTCGGGCTGAGCAGGAAATTGCTGCCCTTGTAGAACAGGTCAGTGTTGGACCCACTAGTTCTCAACCTTACCCTCTATAATTCCTTCCTCTGGACTCTGTGACCCTCCTGTCTTCTCTGGTAAAAATAATCAGGGCTGATGGACCCTGAGCACAAGGTCCCTATGTTTATCATCCCTGCTCCTCCCCACAGCTGACCCCTATTGAGCGGTATGCTATGAAATTCCTGGAAGCCTCACTGGAGGAGGTGAGCCGAGAGGAGCTCAAGCAGGCAGAAGTAAGTAGTTCTAGCGGGTGGGGTTGCTTTTTCCCCACTCACCACCCTGCTTACCTCTTTCTGACCACCCTGTGGGCTCTGTTGTTGGTAGGAACAAGTGGAAGCTGCCCGGAAGGACTTGGACCAAGCCAAGGAGGAGGTGTTCCGCCTACCTCAAGAGGAAGAGGAGGGGCCGAGGGCTGGGGATGAGGTTTCCTGTGGGACTGGTGGAGGCAGCCACCGGCGAAGTAAGAAGGTTAAGGCTCCTGAGAGGCCAGGGACTCGAGTCAGTGAGCGTCTTCGTGGAGCCCGGGCTGAGACTCAAGGGGCAAACCACACTCCTGTCGTATCCACCCATCATACCCGCAGTACCTCCACAACCCCCCGCTGCAGCCCCGCCAGGGAGCGAGTTCCTAAGCCAGCATCTAGGCCTCGACTTACTCCAGGTTCAGCTCCTGCTGCAATTCCTGTCCCAGTTCCTGCCCCAATTCCCATTTCAGCTCCAAATCCATTAACCATGCTTCCTGTCCATATATCACCTTCCCCCCCACTTCCTCTGCAGATTCCTCCCTCCTCTTCTGCCTGTACACCTCCTCCTGCCTGTACTCCTCCACCAGCTCATACCCCTCCTCCAGCCCAAACCTCTGTCTTAACTCCTACCTCCCCTCTCTTGCTTGGTCTACCTTCTGTGCCCATCTTCCCTCCAGTCACCAACCTACCCTTGGGCTTGGGACCTGAGGCAGAGCTGTGTGCACAAACATTAGCATCTACTGAGTCCCTGGAGCAGGCTGATGAGGCCTGTTCTGAGACTTCCTCGCTTATGCCCCCTTGTATGCCCCCTAAGGATCTGTTGCCAGTTGCTGTTGAGATCCTGCCTGTGTCAGAGAAGAACCTTTCTCTCACTTCTTCTGCACCTAGCCCAATCCTGGAGGCTGGCAGCTTCCCCAATGGTCAAGAGCAGGAGGTACCTGAACCTGCTGAGGGGACCATCCTCACTGTACTGCCTGATGGTGAGGAGGTGCCCATGTGTCTTAGTGAGAACAATGGGCTGATGCTCCCACCTTCAGCAGCATCTGATGAGCTATTTCATTTGCCATTGGAAGCTGACAAGAACTCAGAAGAGCTGGTGGAGGCGGGGACCCCAACATCCAGCCCACAGAAGCCACAGGAACTTGTTTCAGCTGAGGTTACAGCTCCATCAACCTCATCCTCAGCCACCTCCTCACCTGAGGGTTCTTCGCCTGCCCGGCCCCCTCGTCGTCGCACCAGTGCTGATGTAGAAATTAGGGGTCAGGGGGCTGGTCGGCCAGGGCTCCCTCCAGGCCCTAAAGTGCTTCGCAAATTGCCTGGACGGCTAGTGACTGTGGTAGAAGAAAAGGAACTGGTGAGGCGACGGCGACAGCAGCGGGGAACTGCCAGTACCCTAGTGCCTGGGGTCTCTGAGACTGGTGCCAGCCCAGGAAGCCCATCTACCCGCAGCATGTTGGGGCCAGAATCCTCACCTCCCACCAGTGGGCCCTGTGAAGCTGCTCCCCCATCCACACTGCCCACCCCAACCCAGCAGCCCTTCGTAGCTCGCCGTCGCATTGAGCTGGGGGTGACTGGAGAGGGCAACCCAGAGAATGGAGAAGGGTCTCTGCTTGCTATCACCCCTCCTGCTGTGAAACGTCGGAGGGGGAGGCCTCCCAAGAAGAACAGGTCTCCAGCAGATGCTGGGCGAGGGGTTGATGAGGCACCTTCATCCACCTCTAAGGGAAAAACCAATGGGGCTGACCCAGTCCCTGTGGCTGAAACCCTTACTGTTGCAGAGTCTGTCCTTGGACCCCAGCCAATTCATAAACCCGAGCCCATCCTGTCACCTGTGGAGAAAAGAAGGCGTGGTCGGCCCCCTAAGGCACGAGATTTGCCCATTCCTGGGACCATTTCCTCTCCAGGGGATGGCAGCTTAGAGAGCCGGACACAGCCACTCCCAGTACCACCACCCGTGCCACCACTCCCAACACCACTTGTATCCTGTCCCGTTGCTACTGTCACCAACACTGTCACCACTCTCACCATTTCAACATCCCCACCCAAGCGGAAGCGGGGCCGACCTCCCAAGAATCCACCATCACCTCGCCCCAGCCATCACCCTGTCTTGGACCGTGACACCTCATCTGTCCTTGAGAGCTGTGGATTGGGGAGGCGGCTGCAACCCCAGGGCCAAGGGGAGAGTGAGGGTAGTTCCTCTGATGAGGATGGAAGCCGCCCTCTCACCCGCCTGGCCCGCTTGCGCCTTGAAGCAGAGGGAATGCGGGGAAGGAAGAGTGAAGGGTCCATGGTAGTGGCTGTAATTCAGGATGACCTGGATTTAGCAGATGGTGGGCCAGGCGGGTTAGAATCGACGGTTCCTGTGGTCTCATTAGCTCCAAAATTGCGGTCCACCCGGCTGCGTCCAGGGTCTCTAGTTCCCCCTCTAGAGACTGAGAAGGTGCCTCGAAAACGGCCAGGGGTCCAAGTTGGCAGGGGCTCTGGGCCTGCAAAGCGGGGCCGCCTACAGTCCCCAAGTCCCTTGGGGCCTGAGGGTTTAGTAGAGGAGTCAGAGGCTGAAGCCTCAGGTGAGGAGGAGGAAGGGGATGGGACCCCACGCCGCCGGCCTGGCCTCCACCGGCTTGGTGGGACAACCAACCAAGGGGACCAGCGCATCCTGCGCAGTAGTGCTCCTCCCCACCCTGCTGGCCCTACTATTAGTCACAGAGGTCGAAAGGCCAAGACGTGAGTAGGCTGCCCTTCCACCTAGGCTTTCCACCATGGCCGCTCTCCCTCCACAACCAGGCCTGATTCTGTTAACCACTACTTGAAGTCTTATGAGGGGGAAAGCCTCCAGGGAGGCATAGGGGCCTTCTCCCTCCTTTCCACCAAAGTAGGGGGTAGGCTGCTGGTTGTCGTGGAAATGGGGCACTTCACATATTCCCTTCCCTTCCACCCCACATGGCTGGGCAGTGTTAGGGTGGCAAGATAGTCTCTGTCCCCACCCCCTTGATTCCCAAGCAACCTTTCACAGCCCCCCACCCTTAGGGGAAGGGGGAGGGGCTTATCTACAATGAGTTTTTTTTCGTTTTTTTCTTTTTTTTTTTTAAGAAGAAAAAAATAATAAACTTAGTTTCTGTATGAGCATCCGCGTAAGGAGGCTTCTGATTTTCTGGTCTGGTGGAGGGTTGGATGGGAACTTGGGCATCTTTTCTCTTGCTCCTGCCAAGATCTTAGTACGTCATCTCTGACCCATACTCACATATCTTTGAGGTAGAAATCTCCGTCCAAGAAGAGGGAAGATTTGGCAGATCTTGTCTCCTGGTAGGGTGCCTTTCCCTAAAGTTTACAGTCACTCAAAGTCATACTTTTCCTCTCCCTTTTCTCAGCTCCTGGACTTTCCGTCAGAGTTCTCTGATGCCTTAGACCTTCCTGTGCTTTTATCTCCCTTACTCAGGTGCTTTTACTCCTTCTTCAGGAGGCAGGCATCACTACCTTGAGTTGCTCCCATTGTTTTCCATCCTTTGGTTTCCTCCATCTAGCCAAACTGGTTTGAGTCAGCTACACCCCCATATGAGCTCCTGGGGCTCTTCAGGTGGTGGCTGGCCACTCAACCCCACCCCTGGGCTTGGCTTGGAGCTCTGAGTCAGTTCCATCTCTACCCAAGCCAAATCAAACCTGAGGCAGAAGCCGAAACTCACAGTACCTCAAAGCCTATAGCCAGGTAAGAGCCCCTGTTCATTTTACATTTTCTCTGATCTCAACTCCCTGGGCCTTTCCTTTTGTCACCCCCAACCGTGTCTGTATCCGTTCACCTCATGGGAATTCTTTCCTCATACCTACTTCTGCAGCTTTGTGGCATATGTTCTTTGTTCTCTGCTTGTCTTGTCTCTTCCACCCTTTGTATCCTGTGTTGTATTCAGAGAACTGTAAATGCTTTAATTTTATCTAGGATGTAGGAGAATGGTTGGAGATGATGGTTTGGTACCAGAGCTCAGAGGACCTGAGAAATAGGGAAATGAGAAATGATTAAATAGGGCATCATTATGCAGGTTTCTGTGTGGGTTACGAAGTCATCCGGACTTGGTGATAATCTAATTGTGTTGTGTGGCCTGGGTTGAAATGGAGAGAGGACATGGTAAGGAGTCAGCATAGCAAAGGAGACCCCAGTTTGGGGAGGTAAGGTCTTTCTGATGTTGTTTGCTCAACTCTAAAGGCAGTTTAGATGGGTATTTTTCCCAATCCAGAGAATTGTATTTTCATGTGAAATGACTGTTCAGGGCCTAGGGTGCCATTTTCAGATCCCTCCTTAATATTCCTGAGGAACTTAAGGAAATTTTAGTGCCCTTTGAAATACAGTTTAAAAATCAGACTTTGATAGTCTCAGATTTCTAGCAGGTGTTGAGATTCTATTTCTTGTTTCTCAGTGTGCATCAGTCATATTGCTTTTCCCTACTTGTCAGAACTATACTACAGATAATGCTATGTTCACACTGGCCTGCCTTTAAAGACTCCGTATCTTAGGCTGAGGAAAAAGGATTTCAGCCACACATGTCCTCTGTTGGTCTATGAGTCATTAGAGGAATTCCCCAGTAAGGTAGCATTCCTGAGAGTTGGGCTAGGCCACAAGACAGGATCAGAAAGGGACAGAGTCTGAGCAAGCCAGGCCAAGGGCTCAGTTTTGGGGCTTAAAAGTACCTTGACTGTATTACCCACAGGTGATGGAGGACGAGGAGAATGCAGTGGAAGTCTTGGTGAGCAACACGGAAGCTGCTCATTCTCCATCCCCCATTCGCTGCTGCTGGCTCCGCCTCCGCTACTTGGCAGCTACTAGCATTATCTGTGGCTGCTCTTGCCTGGGAGTCATGGCCCTTGTGTTTGCCATCAAGGTGAGGAATGCAGTACCTATGGGAGCAGAAGGGTGGGTGTAGTAAGGCAATTGGTACATATATTGGTATATCTACCCTGATCAAATAGTTACTAAGTACCTGTCAAAGCTTAGTGTTGAGCTTTGTGCCAGAACTAAGAATAAGACATGGTTCCTGCTGTCAAGCTTCCACAGTCTAATGAAAGAGATATCTGTGAAAATGGATAATTATTAATGAAAAGTAGCTCATTGGTACTATGGTGGAAAAACCACAGGGTATTCTGGGAGCTGGGGAGGATATATGTGTGTGATTACATATGTGTACGTAAGGGTAGGTGGCAGGAAAATAATCATATAGGATGAGTGAATTAGGGTAAAAGGGCACTGCAGGTAAAGGAAGCAGTGTGTACAATGGCCTGGATTATTAGTTCAGCATGACTGGACCAATGAGAAATAGTGAGAGATGAAGCCAGAGGGCCCAGATCCCCAAGGGCCTCCAATGTTTAGGAGTTCAACTTTAACTCCTTTTGAAACTACTGGACAACTTTTGAAAATACTGGGGAACCATTCAAGGGTTTTTGCAGAGGAGAGGAACGTGGTCAAATTTGTGTTTCAGTAAGATCGACTCTCAAGGCCAACATGGAAAATGAATTGGAAGAGGCAAGACTGGAGGCAGCTGAGCAGTGATGAGAGCAATCTGTAGGAGCCCAGGAGAAGCTATAGGGGTTTTGAGAAGTCTTCACCATTTCAAAATTCCTAACAGAAACTGCACATTTACCTTTTGAAAGGTCACACATGCTAACTTGAACATGCTGGAATTTTCTCAACCCTAGTTGTATTTTAACAATCAGAAATTGTATTCCTGTCATCATAAGAATTTCTGGGCTCCATTAGGGCAAAATCATAAAAAGTAATTCTTAATAATGAAAAAGATGAGGGATGAGGACCATTGGACTAATGAGAATAGGATGTTCTTTGGACATGAGTGAAATACTCCTAGCTTACTATTCCTCACCAAGAATTTCAAATTTGGAATGAATTTGGAATGAGGAGAAAAGCATAGGGAATTAAAGGATTGAAAAGTACTTGAACATGTGTGATCTTGTGAGCTAACAGTGGCCACCCTGAAAAGCAAGCAGAGCAGAATGGATAACTTACTTTGCAGATGAGGCATGAGAAATAGAAACTGGAAAAGGAGGTAGATGATTTGGGTGTGAGGTTTTGAGCCGTGACAAAGATGGAAGATTGGAGTGGGGCACTGGGCACTTTGGGACAGAAGCAGGGAGAGAACCTAATTAAAACCTGCCCCCACAGGCGGAAGAGCGGCATAAGGCAGGCCAATCCGAGGAAGCCGTGCACTGGGGGGCCCGGGCCCGGAGGTTCATCCTGGCCAGCTTTGCCGTCTGGCTTGCCATCCTCATTATGGGCCCCCTACTTCTGTGGCTGCTCTCTTACGCCATCGCTCAAGCTGAGTGACTCTGGGTGGCCTCTGCTGAGAGTCAGCCAGGACCTCCTGGATCCTGCAATGTGACATTGCTGGAGTCCAGTGCCAGCAGTGGTCCTTCCTGGCTGGAGGATGGTGCCTCTCTCAAAGGGCTTTGGAAGAGCTCTTCTAGCCCTTCATAAAAGGAGGCAGCAACTGAGAACAGAACAGGCTGACCTCCCCAATGACCTCCCCTCATTGGGGAGGTCAGCCTGTTCTGTTCTTTCAAGTGTTCATCATTTCCTGTTCCCCCTCAATTTACCTCATCCTAGCTGCCTCTACCCAGAGGTGGGGTTGAAGACCAGGCCTGATTTTATTAGAATTTGTTTTGTAATAAAAACCTTTTTTAGTGGTGAAATGCTGCTGCTGTCTACTTGTTCTTCCCTTACTTTTCCCTGGACCTTGGTGAGACCCAGAGTGTACACCTGACTGACTGTAGAAGTCTGCATTTTCCCTCACCTAGTTGCTCCATGAGAAGGAAAGATTTTTTTGTCTTCTGGAAGTATCTCTTTTTAGAAAGATTCCAGCTTCTCCCTTACACCTGAACAGAGACCCTGAGGCCAGAGAACAAGAGTAGTAGCAATAGCTACTATTTATTGAGTGTTTGATATATCCCAGGCTGTGTTCTAAACACTTTATATTTTTTTAATTCCTTCAGTTCTCACAGTCACTCAATAAATACCATTGTTCTCATTTTATAGTTGAGAAAACAGGCACAGATTATAAGGTCACACAGCTAGCAAGAGGCAGAGCTGGGATTGAACCCAGACAGTTTGGTTCCAGAGTTGAGAGAGGAGTGAAAGGATTAGATATAGCAACCATTACTCTCTATATGGAGATGTCTATGATTATAATGAATTTTTATACCCTTTGTCTTGGGCTTAATGATAATATTTTAAACATTTTTAAAATGAGATATATCATACATACAGGAAAATATCCAAAACAAATACACAGCTCAATAAGTTAACACAAAGCAAACATCTGAAAATCCATCATCCATCAAGAGATTGAACATTGCCAACACTCCAAATCCTCCTTAATATGCCTCCTACTCACTACTTTCTTTGTTCAAACAGGTAACTATCATCCTGACTTCAAACAATGTAGTTTAGTTTTGCCTGCATTTGAATGTTTTATACATGGATTAATATGTATTCTTTTTATGTCTGGCTTCTTAACGTTGCTTGTGAGATTCATCAATCTTTGATGTAACTATACTTTTTGTTGCTGTACAGTATTCCATCACATGACTATATTGCAGTTTATCCATTTTATGTTGGTGGATTTTGGGGATGTTTCTAGTTTTGGGATATCATGAATCATTCTGCTTGTATATTCTTTCTGGTACATGTCTCTTGAAGTACATATGCCCTGGGAGTGGAATTTTTGGGTTATTTTACCATAATTCAGAGACCAGCAGAGCACCTAAAAGAATTAGAGATACTGCAAACTGAAGACAGAAGATTAAAAGGGAAGGAGAAGCATCTGATGGTTGTCTTCAGTGTTTCGATGTGCTCCAGGAAGGAAAAAGTGAAGAGAATTCATTGTTGGTCTCAGAGTTTAGAATGACACAATAGGTAGAAGCCAGGCTTATGGCAGTGATTCTTAACCTTGAACCATGTGGGGGAACCTTAAGAAGTACTTATGTTTGGGCTTTACCTTTAGAGATTCTGATGTCATTGGTGTGAGGTGCTGCATAGTCCTCAGGATAACACATTCTAGAGAGATTTTTTACAGGAACTTTAAAAAGCTGGTATTTGATTAATCAGCAGCTTCAGTTTACTGGAAAAGAGTATCTCATTCCCTCAAACTGATTGAGGTCTTGCAAATTTTTAACTCTATTTTGAAAAAATTTCAAACCTACAGAACAATAAAAGAATAGTGTAATGAACTCATGTGTACTGTTCAGCTAGACTTAAAATATTTAATATTTCCCCATATTTACTGTATATTTTTCTAAATATATATGTTGTGCCCTGACTGGTGTGGCTCATTTGGTAGGGTGTCATCCCACAAAGCAGAAGGTCACTGGTTCGATTCCTGGTCAGGGCACATGCCTGGGTTACTGGTTTGGTCCCTTGTGTACAAGAGGCAACCAATCAATGTTTCTCTCTCACGTCAATGCTTTTCTCCCTCTCTTTCTCTAAAAAATAAATAAAATCTTTAAATATATACATTGTTATTACTGAACCATTTGAAGTTAAGTTGAAGTCTCATCATTCCTAAGTATTTTATGATCTATTTCCTAAGAACAAAAATATTTTCTTGCATAACTAGGAAACAATTATATAATCCACAGAAGTTAACATCAATACAATATTTTCTAATATATCGTCCATATTCAAATTTGATGTTGTCCTTTATAGCACTTTATTTTCTGCTTTAAGGTCCATTGTGGGAACATACGCATTACATTCAATTGTCTCTTATCTTTTGGTCTTCAGTTTTTAGTAGGTCCTCATCTTTTTTTTTTTCTTTCTTTCCCTCCCTCCCTCCTTCCTTTTTCATGACATTTTTGAGGGTAGGGCAGTTTATTAAATGTTCTCAGTTTGGGTTCTTATGATTGGATTCAGGTTAGAAATAGTACATAATATCAATGTGTCCTCAGTATATCATATCAGGAGGCATATGATGTCAGTTTACTCTCACTGGTGGTGGTAACATTGACAGCTTGGTTAAGGGAGTGTCTGTTAGATTTCTGCAAGGTAAAGATACCTTTTATTCTCTGTAATTAAAAAGTCTGTATAAATATCCTGTTCCCCAGCAAATCTTTGCCAATAATTTTAATGCCCAGTTTGCCCAAGACAATTATGAGGCTTACAAAATGCTGATGTTTTATGTTTATCATTCTACATTTTAGTTGGCATTCTGCTGTAAAGAAGGTCCTTTTCTCTTTCATTATTTATTTACAGTTTTTACACTGTAAATGTCAGTGTGATCTCAGATTATTCTTTAGTTCAATTTATTACATCCACTACTGTCATTATTCTTGAAATGTTTTGAGGTATAATTTACTTACAGTAAAGTGCAGAGATCTTAAGTGTGCAGCTTAGTGAATGTTTTGATATGAACATACCTATGTAATCACCATCTAGGTGAATAGACCATTTCTGGTACATCAGAAGGCTCCCTCATGGCCCTCACCATCTCACTATTTCTGTCCCTGATTTTGGCCGGTGGAAAACCCCTTCAACCTGGTTTTTGTGTCCTGATAAGTCCCCACCTTCCTTCACTTTCTGGCACAAATTATTCTAGCTTCATTTTGTACTTCCTCTGTTCCTGCCTGAGAATTGGTCATTTCTCTCAGCGAGCCCTGGTTCCTGTCACTGGGAACTGTTATTTTGAAGTCAGTGTCTAGACACTAGCTGTACTCATTCTACTGAGGTGTTACTTTGCAAATTTGTGTGTCATACTTGTGCAGGGGCCATCCTAATTTCTGGATCATTCCAATTTTAGTGTATGTGGTGCCAAAGTGAGCACTCTACTGGGATGTTATCGCTTCCAGGCTCTTTCAGAGGCTAGAAAACACATATTTTTTCTATTTTAAATCTTTCTAAAATCACATCTCCAATTTAAATCAATCATAAGGTTTTTTCTCTCCCCATTCTAAATTCCATATTCCCACAGTAAGAACCTTGGCTGCCAAATACATAAATGTTTATTCACTTTTTCAATTACAGAATAATTATACTACCAAATAACAAGTCTACTAAGTAAAGTTAAAGGTTTTCTGCAGTTATTTTGTATTTAGATTGATGGTATAGTCAAAGTACTCCATTAAAAAGTTACTTGGACTTTTACATGGTTGCAATCCCAAAATGACATTTCTAAGATGGTTGTTAGGTTAAATGAATTCATTCTGTACCTCCTTTGCTGGAACACAACTTTTACAAGGGCAGGGATTCCCCCCCCCGCCATTGCTGTTAGTCTAGCACAGCCACTTTCAACCCGTGTGCCACAAGAGGCACACTGGTGTGCCACAAGAATTTTTAAAACATACAATACCTATTTAGTCAGGGGCACTGACATCTGTTCCCTTAGATTATCAACTTTAATAAATGACAACAGCCAACACAACAGCTATCCAATGTAAATGAGTCAAAATTATACCTGTTTTTGTCAGATCAGTAAAAATAACTTTTTTTGTGTGCCACGGAATTTCAGAATTAGTTTATGTGTGCCATGAGATGAAAAGGTTGAAAATCACTTCTATCTACGGCATAGATGCTCAACAAATATATATATATATATATCATATCTCACCAAGGATATGTTTCATTGATTTGAGAGAGATGGGGGAGGGGGACGGGGGACATCCATCAGGGATGAAACCCAGAACCTGGGTATGTGACCTGACTCAAAGTCCAACCACAACCCCTTTTTTGGGGTATATAGAACAACGCTCCAACCAACTGAGCCACCCCACCAGGGCTCAACAAATATTAGTTGAATGAGTAAGTGAATGCTGGGATTAGGCTGTGCACTGAGATGGTTTATGAAGGAAGTCGCTCCTGGCGGAATCTCACAACCTGGTAGGCTTAGAACAGAGTGTGATACTCCCCCAAGGTTTTGGGGAGGGGGTGGTGGAAGATTGGAAAAATGTATAGCCCTAGCTGGTGAGCACTGGGGCTTTAGAAGTATACTCAAGAGAGCAGTCACCAGAGGAGGAAGTCCTCACAAAGTGGTGTAAACCACTTACGTACTCCAAATTGGTGTAAAAGCTGTGTGTGTTCCTAGAGTTCTCACGGCTAGAGTTTGCCCCTCAAGCCAGGGCTGTTAATATAGAGCCTAATTCACAGAGTGATGCTGGGAGGAGATTGAGAGGGCCACGCCTAAATAGGGGAATCCTCAGCGCAGCTGGTCGTTCACCTCGGTAACCTAGACATCAAGCTTCCCAGGAAACCTAGCTTCCGGGTCGCTTTCCAGGCCTCCAACCCCACTGGTCAACAAGTTCCTGTCCCCAGCAGATGCCCTGCACCGACTGGTCTTATTTGAAGCCCCGCCTTAGCGGGGCTTACAGTCTTTGCCTTAGGTAACTTCGAGCTCCAACGCTCGCTCGCTCCAGCCCCAATATTTTCGGCTTCCTATTGGACAATCAGTTTCCAATCAGAAGGATTTTTAAATCTCAGTCTTCAGGAGGCGCTGGCTATTGGCGGACAAGGTGGAGGCGGGGCCGGAGGTTATTGCCGGCAGCGACCAGGGTAAGGAACTAAACAGAAGCAAACTCCGCGATTGAGCGGCCTCGCGTGGTCCCCCAGTTTCATTCCTCTCCCCTGCGCAGGTGAACCTCCAGGATACCCCGCGCCCCTTTGCAGTGCTTGCCCAAGTGCGCCTGCGCAGCAACAGCCACTTGCCCTTTTAACCCTTCCCTTTTCTGCACGCCTTTTCCCTCCCCCTTCCCGCCCCCCAACCCTGCCAACCTTCCCGCCCTTAGGCCCTTTGGCGGGGTCTCCCCAGTCCCTATCCTTTCCCAGCCCTGTCCCCAATCCCCAAGATCCTGGCGCCCCAGCCGCAAGGACTGTGCCTCCGCGAGCCGCAATGTGCGTCCTCTCAGAGCCTTTGGGCCTCCCTGCCATCACTACCTTCCGTTTCCTCCACACAGGCCACCACCTCCGTCAGAATGACGCTGGACGTGGGACCCGAGGATGAGCTGCCCGATTGGGCCGCGGCCAAGGAGTTTTACCAGAAGTATGACCCTAAGGACATCATTGGCAGGTGAGGCCATAACCAGGACAACAGAGGTCCAGAGAGGTAGAGTACTAGATAGGATACCCAGTTCGATCTAAGGGTTGCACAGTTCTAAATGAGAAAGGTCAGTGGTTAGTTTGGTGACTAGGCTCTTTTTTAAAGTATATTTTATTGATTATGCTATTACAGTCCTATTTTTTTCTCCCCTTTATCCCCCTTTTGCCCTGCATCCCCCTCCCATCCTCCAGCATTCCCTCCCCTCTTAGTTCATGTCCATGGTTTGTACATATAAGTTCTTTGGCTTCTCTGTTTCCTATACTATTTTTAACCTCCCCCCGTCTGTTTTTGCCTACCAATTATGTTTCTTATTCCCTGTACCTTCTCTCCCCCTTTTCCCCTCCCCCTCTCCACTGATAACCCTCCATGTGATCTCCATTTCTATGATTCTGTTCCTGTTCTAGTTGTTTGCTTAGTTTTTGTTTTTTAGTTTCAGTTGTTGACAGTTGTGAGTTTGTTGTCATTTTACTGTTAAATAGTTTTGACCTTCTGTTTCTTAGATAAGTCTCTTTAACGTTTCATATAATAAGGGCTTGGTGATGGTGAACTCCTTTAACTTGACCTTATCTGGGAGGTACTTTATCTGCCCTTCCACTTTAAATGATAGCTTTGCCGGACAGAGTCATCTTGGATGTAGGTCTTGCCTTTCATGACTTTGAATACTTCTTTCCAGCCCCTTCTTGCCTGTAAGTTTCTTTTGAGAAATCAGCTGATAGTCTTATGGGAACTCCTTTGTAGGTAACTGTCTCCTTTTCTCTTGCTGCTTTTAAGATTCTCTCCTTATCTTTAATCTTGAGTAATGTAATTATGATGTGCCTTGGCATGTGCTTCCTTGGTTCCAATTTCTTTGGGACTCTCTGGGCTTCATGAACTTCCGTGGAAGTCTATTTTCTTCACCAGATTGGGGAAGTTTTCCTTCATTATTTTTTAAATAAGTTTTCAATTTCTTGCTTTTCCTCTTCTCCTTCTGGTACCCCTAGGATTTGGTGTTGGCATACTTAAAGTTGTCCTGGAGGTTTTTAAGCCTCTTCTCTTTTTTCTTCATTCTGTTCCAGTTGAATGTTTATTTTTTCCTTCTAATCCAAATCGTTGATTTGAGCCCCAGTTTCCTTCCCGCCACTGTTGGTTCCCTGTATATTTTTATTT